AGGGGTGTTTGGCTTCAAACACATGGTGCGCCTTTTGCTATTTGCACGGGTGTCCTGACGTACTGCCAAACGAGGTTGCACTTCGGCGGCTGGTTCAGGAAGATGGGTCGTGCGAAGGCAACCGCGTTGGTCGGACCCTCCGGGCTCGCGCGGGACACGGACGCCCTTCGGGTCGTAGTGGTTGCGGTGCTGGTCGAGGTCCGTCACAGGGCGCTCAAGTGGTTGAGACGGTCCGCCCCCTCGAGGTCTTGGCAGGTCCAGAGCTTGAGGCGGCAAAAGCACAGCCCCATCACTCTGGCGAGGTCCGAGGACTCAAGGATGCGGGTGGAACTGGGGTCGTAGCGATAGCGCCGCATGTCGTAAAAGGGCGTGGCGGGTTGGTGGCGTTGTCGCTTCTGGCTGGGGAGCAGGTCGACTCGGAGTGGCTTGATGCGTCCCAGGTTGCGCTGGGCGACTTGCTCCAGCTTCTCTTGGGTCCAGAAGGTCCTGTGCATGTATGGCAGTTTCTGAGCCGTCTGCATGTTGTTCATGATCATGTCGGCCAGATAGGCGCGGGGGTCCTTGGCTTGTCGTAGGTCGGATGCGATCTCGTTGATGTGGACCTTCATCTGTTGGATGAGCTTGCCGGTCGTGTCCTCCTCCCAGCGAAGAAGGTAGAGCATGTAGCGCCGGTCGTCGTCGCCGGTGATGGCCTGGTCCGTCTCGTGTGCTCCAGCGGTGGCGCGTACCACGAGGCACTTCTGGGCCGGCACGAAGCGTTCTGTGTCGTCTTGGCCGGCTGCGGTCAGGGCCTCCCCTCGGGATGCGGCTTTGGCGTCACTGTAGGTTTTCCAGGGGTGGTATTGCTGGAGGCACTCGGGACAGAAGAACTGGCCGTGCTCGGTGATGTTGGCGGTGGCGCGCAGCCAATGTGACGAATGTACCACCGCTTTGCACGACTGACGTCGGCAGATAAAGTGCTCGTCGGTGGACGGGAGGACGCGGGTGATGAAATCGGTGAGGTGTGTGGGATAGTCGTCAGAGTCCAAGAACTCAAGGAGGGTCCCGGTGCTGTTTGCGCGCAAGGCCTCGGTGAGGTGCTGCCTCTCCCATTTGTGGAACATGAGGAAAAGGTCTCGTCGGTCCTCGGGTGCCAGGTTGATGAGGTCGAGGCACATGGTTTCGGCGAGGAACTTGGAGTGGTCGCTGATGAGGCGGCGCAGGTGGTTGTTGGAGGTTCCGGGGTGGATCTCGCGCAAGGAGTCCATCATGTCCATGTGGGTGTTCGTGCGGATGGTGCCGACGGCCTTGTTGGTCATGTAGTCCAAGCGGCGTCGCCATTCTCGTCGGCACAGCTTGCTGAACACCTCGAGGGTGAATGGCCGGCGGTTCTTCACGTCGAGGGCTGGTACCCTGATCCAGCGGCGGTTGACCTGGTCCCACCTGTGCACGGGGATGTAGGCGTCGTGAGCGTCGTCCGTCTCTGGCACCGCAATCTGTAAGGTCGGTGGGGCGATGGTATGGTCGCTGATCATGGCCGCGAGGTCGGGGTGTTCTGCGATGGTGTTGTACGGTGCGTGTTCTGCAATCAGGGAGTTCGGGTCGGCCAGGAGCTCCTCGAACTGGAACCACGGCACGCTACTGGTGTCGCAGGTAGCGCACCCGTAGCACGCCCCGACCCACTTGTTTCGCCAGTCGGTTTCCTCTGAGAAGCAGAGGGGCATGATGTACTGGGATTGGTATGGGATCTGGCAGAACGAGCACTGCAGTGTGGCTGGTGTTGGATTCAGGTTGTGCCAGTCCAGCAGCAGGTAGCGTGTCCGTGTGTCCGGCTCGGTGTTGGTCGACTCCATGAAGAGGTCGATCGCGTCCGTGGTGGAGAGGCGGGGATTCTCGGTGCGGAAGGTCTGGAACCTCGAGAGGACGCCGGTGTTGTAGGACCGCAGGAGGAGCTCGCAGACTGCGTCGGTCTCGCGAAGTGCCATGTTGTGCGAAGGGGGTGCGATATCGGATACACAAAAGCCAGCCTGAAAATTCCTTCGGAATTGGAGGTGGCGCTTGCCGAACTCACGCAGGAGTCGGTAGTGTGCCGGGTGTGAGTCAAAGGGGGGGGGGGTTGGTCGGGCCAGGGGGGTGTGTCTAGGTGACTCGGGTCCAAGGATGGCCCGTTGATGGGGGGGATCTGTACGACGCGCCACACCGGCACAAACGTCGTGTTGGATGACACGCCACACCGGCACAAATGTCATCCCGAGGGGTGGAGCTGTCCCGTAGGACCAACTCCCTGCGGTGTGAAGGTGACCGGGGTCGGCCAGTTTGTCATCAGGGATCCGACCCGAAGAAACCGAGGGTAATCCACAGGGGATCCGAAGTGGGGTGAAAGACCGGTCGGGTTCGGGGCAGGCGAGTGGGGATTGGTCACCGCAGTATGGGCCTCAGCAGTGGGTCGGTTTGTCAAGGGGTATCCTCTCGAATCAAACAGGGGGGACGAAGAGGGTCGACCCGGGCTCGAGGCTCTCAGCGCTTTTGCGCGGTCCGAAGATGGATCTCTCTTCGGGAAAAGGGGGCCTCAGGCGGTCGCCTAGGCATGGGTGTCACCTGTGCGGTATGAGGGTCATCGCCCTATTGCTGGCCCACCATCGCACGGGACATGGACTTGGTGGGTCAACTTAGGGTGGCGGGTTTGGAGACTCCTCGGTGCCGCCTGGTCAGTAGCGGGAGTCCTGGCTCTGCTCAGTCTAGAGCTCCCGGTTGAAGCGCAGGTGTCCGTCGGGGCCGAGCAGGATGCCCTCGATGGTCGCCATGGTGCGTTGTTCGGGGGTCAGGAAATTGGAAATTGTCTCAATGATGGTCTCCCCGAAGGTGATTGCCATGTTGTCCACAAAAGGTTCTCGCCGGGAGGCGCGACAGAGCTGCCTCCCGAAGGTAAGCCAGGAACAGGTCAGTTGTTGTAGCATGTGCTGCCGGTTGGCGCTGTTGAGCAGCTGGAGTTGTTGGTGAACGTGTTGCTGGATAATCCAGCGCAGCAGGCTCCTGAGAGGTGTGACCTGCGTAGTTGGTTCCACGGGTACAAGAAAAAGGCCCCCGAAGTCATTGCCGTACACATTGGTGGGGGTGCGCGAGAAGATGCCGTAGTTGGTCAGGTGCCATTGCAAGCCGATGTGGTCGAGGACGGAGGGGAATTCCGGTAGCAGTTCCGGATTGATCAGGAAGGTGGCATCTTCGTGTACCCGCGCGCGGATGTGTCCGGCCCGCTGGGTTGACAGCAGGCCTTGTGTGCTGTCGTCACGGTCGATGCCTGGCGGCTGGAGCCACTGGACTAAGTCGTGATGTTGGTTGGATGGTGTGGGGGGTGCCGCCTTGGATGGTGTGGTGGGTTGCGGGCGTGGTGAAGGCATGTGGTGCGGGACGGGCCCGGTCGATGTGGTGGTCGCCTCCGGGAATCGGGCCTGTCTGGGAGTGTCGCGAGCCGTGGGTGTCGCGAAGTTGACGGTCCGCGGTGGTGTCATAGCTCGGGAGTATCCCGGTTGTGTGGAGCGGCCTCGCTGCTGTCGGGGGGTGTTGTTCCGTTGGCGAGACGGGTTCAATGTGCTTGGCGGGCCACGTGGTACCGCGTATGGCATCTGGTAGGTGCACGGATCGGGGTACCGAACGTTCATGTGGTGAATGGGCGTGTTCCACTCGCCGTGAAGGTGGTCGCGGAGGATTTCAAAGGCCTCCCGCCTGGACACGAAGCGCCATTCACGGTGGGCTGTGTCATAGTGGATGCCCACGCCGGTGTTGGGTCTGGCATGGTGCACGAAGCGCAGCCAGGCAAGAAGGTCACCATGCAGGACTGAGTCGCTGTGAACATGGCGGCATTCGGCACCACTGTCGCAAAAGCCTTCTGGATGCCGGGCCTGTTGTCGAAGATGTCGGTAACAGATGTTGTCTCGCGGCATCCAACGCGCATCAACGAACTCCGGATGCAAAAAGGCGCACTGGTGGGCAGAGGCAGGTGCACGTCCCCTGCAGCCGGAATGGTTGATGAACTGGTTGCAGACCTGATTGCCCTGCAAGATGTTGCCCGGACCGACCGCCTCGGGCAGGATCGAAAGATGGTCCTGAAGGGCCCGGTACAGTCGTTCATAATCCGGGTCGAGCTCGGTCATTTCCATGAGCTGGTACTCCTCCACGATGGATGCGAAATTCGCTGGAGCAGTCATGGCGGTCGAGCAGGCAGGGCAGGTAGGTCGGAAAAAGAAAAAAAATGGCTCGATGCTATAAATGCAGACCGACAGGTACTGAGGGCATGCAGTGAAAACTGGTGAGGGTGGGTGGGAAAGAAAAAAAATTGGCTAATTCGCCAAAATGGCGAACGGAGCATGAATCAAGCAGTGTCATCCTGCAGGCACTCAAGGTTCGAATCTGAGTGTGATTCAAATGCCTTCCGCTATCGGTTGTTACTTTTAACACAAGTGTTAACCGCAACATGCGGCCTCACATTGAAAATCACGTGCACGGCACCCTACCCTGAAGTTCCAAGAGCCATTCAGGGCCCTCTGAAAGGAAACCGCCATGGATGGTTTACAGGGGTCATTCCTATTCCCTTCCCTGCCTCCCCGAAAAACAGGTCCGTAAAACATGTGGGGGGGTTGATCAACAGGTCCGTAAAACATGGGATGACCACTGGTTGGAAAACCGTCAAAAAGATGAGACTGAATCCCCACATGGGCAAAGCTATGTTCAAACCTGGGGGCCTTTCAGGGAATATTGGTCAACCAGATAGAAACCACCAGTTGGATGGTCTTTCTTGGGGGGGAGGTCATTCCTCTCCACATTCCCTGCCTGTCGAACCAGCAAGAAGCAAGACAAGTCCGCCTCAAAACACACCTACTCACTGGCTGAGTGGATGGCCCAAAAGAAGTTCAAACTTTATATTTACCACTAAAATGGTCTTCCCAAAAAGTCTAAAGTTCATGAGCTCAGGAAGTGAGCCGCCTAACCCACGGCCGCCGGCCCGCCCAACACCTCCCGCCCGCCTCCTCCTGCGCCACTAGCTCCTGCGCCGCGACCACCTCCTCCTGCAACAAGGCCTGGCGAGAACGCCTGGAGCGCTTGGCCACAATCGAAGGTGATCAAAACCTGGTACCCCAAAAAACCCCAAGCCCGGTTCAGGTGATTGGTAGACATAACTTCAATGTTCGGATGTAAAACTGATGTAAACATGCGATTCCAAACGCAAAAAATGAGGTACCTACTTTTGAGTGCTTCTTGCCCTTCTGGTTGCATGGTCATGGTTTAAAAAACTATGGAAATATAATAATGTAGAAGGCGTTTTGTCACATGAGGTAAAGGGCACCCCTATCTCGCGACATTTTCCTGGACAGGAAAATGTTTGACGACTACAATCCTAAAAAGAAACAGTTTTCCAGTTCTATTGGAAAAAGGCGATGTGAGCCTACCCAAAACGACGGTTTTTCATGAATATCCACACTCATCTACGTCACAACTGTCCGCCAAAAGCATTCAAACCACTTGGCCCCTGTGTGGATAGTCGTTTACAAATTGGAAAGCACAAGGATGTTAATTGCCCCATCTCTAATCAAACTGTCGGCGGCCAAGCCATTGAAGTGACACCATTTTTTCCTGATCAATGCTTTGAAGGGACAACCCCAAAATTGATCTTGAGAACCCCTCAAAATGCAGCTGGGTCTGGGTTCAATAGGGCCTCTAGGAAAAATGAAAAACATGTGCCATCCCCTTTTGGCTTCCCTTCCATTAGATAAAGCAAACATTGCCAAAAAAGAACACTCTTAAGCGACCCAGGGTGGCCAATCCTAACGCATTGATCGCTTTCGTTTCCCAGCTACTTGTCTTCACAACCCTTGGTATAGTAAATAAAACCTACTGTTTGGCAGCCCCTACTAAACATGAGCAGAATCCAAGCAAACAAAACAACTTGCCAAGAACAGTAAAGTTGTCTTGCCATTGGCCAGCCCTCCTTGCCACCGAAACGCCCCGCCTGCGTCGCCAGCTCTTGCGCGCGCCGCCTGAAAGCGCTGTCCGCCCAGGCCTGCCGCGCGGGCGCCATGCCGCGCGCGGTGTGTCGATTCCGAGGTAGCCCCTCTTTGGGGTGATTTGAAGGGAGCCAAATAAACGGAAAACCGCAGAAACTGCGGGGCTTCCCGACTTTGAGGCAAACCCCCATATAAGCCTCAAAACCGGGGAGATGTCCTAACTTGGCTTTTGGGCTGTTCTCAAGAACCAGGCCCTAAGCGCCCGGGCTTTTTGTGGCCAATGTCTGGAAAGAAGGGTACACCTAGATAAATAGGTGGTTTCTTTTCGGCATGAAATTAGGTGAGTCCCCAGACTGCAAGGGCCAATTAGAACGGGGTTGTGATGCGATATGTAAAGCCAAGTTCAGGCATGATCGAAAAATAGTGTAAAGGAAAAACCAGCCCCAGTTCCTGACTTCAGCCCCCACAAAAAAAAAAAACTAGAGGACGATTGGCCCGAAAGCATTTTTCCCCAGGCGCTCATCCAGCCGCGGAGACACCTTTTTACATTGCTGCGGCGAGCGTGTCTGCACGCGGCGATGCTCAATGTGTATGGTCACATGAGGGCTCCATCTCATCATCCTAGTTTCCTCTCGAACTGCGCCGCGCGCTTTCTCACGAAAGTGGTCTGCGCAAGCTGCATTGTTCCAGGCTGCTGCGCGCAAGTTGCTCTCTGCAAGCTGCTGCACGCAAGCGCTCTGTGCAAGTTGCTCTGCGCAAGTGCTCTGAGCAAGTTGCTCTGCGCAAGTGCTCTGCGCCAGTTGCTCCGTGCAAGCGCTTTGCGCATGTGCTCTGTGCAAGTTGGTCTGTGCAAGTTGCTCTGCGCAAGTGCTTTGTGCAACTGCTCTGTGCAATTCGCAGAGCGCAAGTTGCTCTGCGCAAGTGACTCTGCGCAAGTGCTGCCGGAGCTGTGGGAATGTACTTCGCGTACTATTTTCGCGTACGATTTTCCAGCCGGAGCTGCGGGAGCACGCTCCGCGTACTAGGTCTGTACTTAAAAGCTGCGATTTTTCAACCGGAGCTGCGGGAGCACGCTCCGCATGCTACGTCTGTACTTAAAAGTTGCGATTTTCCAGCCAGGGCTGCAGGAGCACGCTCCGCGTACTACGTTTGTACTTAAAAGCTGCGATTTTCAAGCCGGAGCTGCCGCGGACCAGGGGGGAATCGAACCCGGGACCGCGGGATTGCGAAAGCAGGCGCGCGAGCCACGAGACAACTTCCAAAGGCCATTTCGCGAGCAACAAATTCGCACGGCGCCACAGCGAGAGCGGACGATCCAGCGTCGCGCGCGGCTTGCAGAAATCGTAAAAAGCCCTCAGTTTTTGAACCTCGACCACGCGAATCTCCGCAGAGGGTCGCGCGCGCATGTTCAAAATCGTAAAAAGCCCTCAGTTTTTGAACCTCGACCACGCGAATCTCCGCAGAGGGTCGCGCGCGGCTTGCAGAAATCGTAAAAAGTCCTCAGTTTTTGAACCTCGACCACGCGAATCTCCGCAGAGGGTCGCGCGCGCATGTTAAAAATAGTGAAAAGTCCTCAGTCGCGCGCGGCTTGCAGAAATCGTAAAAAGTCCACAGTTTTTGAACCTCGACCACGCGAATCTCCGCAGAGGGTCGCGCGCGGACCGCAGAAATCGTAAAAAGTCCTCAGTTTTTGAACCTCGAAACCACGCGTCGCAATCCCGAGCGATGATCAAACTCCCGCCCCGGCGCCTTACAAACCTAAACTAACTTACATAGCTGCTTACGCCGAAGCTCTAGGCAAGCTCTACCTAACCTTGGCTCTGCGCCACTTGGCTCTGTGCCACTTGGCCCTGTGCCACTTGGCTCTGTGCCACTTGGCTCTGTGTCACTTGGCTCTGTGCCACTTGGCTCTATGTAACTTGGCTCTATGTAACTTGGCTCTATGTAACTTGGCTCCATGTAACTTGACTCTATGTAACTTGGCTCTGTGCCACTTGGCTCTGTGCCACTTGGCTCTGTGTAACTTGGCTCTGTGCCACTTGGCTCTGTGTAACTTGGCTCTATGTAACTTGCTCTATGTAACTTGGCTCTATGTAACTTGGCTCTGTGCCACTAAACTTGGCTCTGTGCCACTTGGCTCTGTGTAACTTGGCTCTATGTAACTTGCTCTATGTAACTTGGCTCTATGTAACTTGGCTCTATGTAACTTGGCTCTATGTAACTTGGCTCTATGTAACTTGGCTCTAACTTGGCTCTATGTAACTTGGCTCTATGTAACTTGGCTCTATGTAACTTGGCTCTATGTAACTTGGCTCTATGTAACTTGGCTCTATGTAACTTGGCTATGTAACTTGGCTCTATGTAACTTGGCTCTATGTAACTTGGCTCTATGTAACTTGGCTCTATGTAACTTGGCTCTATGTAACTTGGCTCTATGTAACTTGGCTCTATGTAACTTGGCTCTATGTAACTTGGCTCTATGTAACTTGGCTCTATGTAACTTGGCTCTATGTAACTTGGCTCTATGTAACTTGGCTCTATGTAACTTGGCTCTATGTAACTTGGCTCTATGTAACTTGGCTCTATGTAACTTGGCTCTATGTAACTTGGCTCTATGTAACTTGGCTCTATGTAACTTGGCTCTATGTAACTTGGCTCTATGTAACTTGGCTCTGTGCAACTTGGCTCTGTGTAACTTGTCCAAGGGCTCCGCACGGAAGAACCCTTCGCGATGCTTTCGGGGGGGGGGGGAAAAAAACACGACCCCAGCCACGTTGCGCAAGGGCACGGCCGCCGCTTTTCAGCCGAACCGGAAGTCTCTCGCGGGGAAAGCCGCCGGAAGGGCCCGCCTTGGGAAGCCGGACGGGTCCGATGAACCCGGGGCTGCCCGTGGTCTGATTCTTTGCTGTGCGACTCACTTTGAGTGGGTGAAATGGAAACAAGGGACACCTCAACAAAAATATCTAGCCATGGTTTTTCCATCGAGATGCCAACAGCTACCCAGCGGTATGTGGTGTATTTCCAAAAGTCATTGTCTCACTCACTCCACCAAAGAATGGGGGGTCATGAACAAACGACTCCCGAAGTTTATCCCCTTGTGTGTGTGTTTTTTCCCCGCATCTTCCATGGCAGGCTTTGTTCACCACACTCTGAGCGAAGAAATCAACAACCCCCTGGCCATGGCGAGCAAAGCCACGGTTTCGCGCGCACCAGCTCTGCCAATGCCAAACCTGATCATCGCGTGTAGCGTCCAACCCCCTTGGTATGGTAGCGACGCACGGTGTCCTTTGCATCCCGCCACTAAAAATGATGAGGACCAAAAATAGAAAACAGGCCAACGACGAAGCATAATCTGGACACCCTCAAGCGAGGCAGGAGCGTGTCTAGCTGTTGCGCCAAAAAAACTAGCTAGAGGAACCTCTGACTGGACGCTTTTGGGGGGGGTCCATGTTGTCTGACTAAAGAATATCTACATGGCTTTGTCTCAAAAGGGATTTGTTCTGGGTGGCTTCCTCTTGGTGTCCTTTTAAAGCACCCCCCCCAAAAAAAAAGAACGGCACCCTGAACAAAGCACACCCCGCCTGCCCCGCTTTCCCTCTGTCGCCCAAGAGCCCCGACACATGCGGCGGGCTCAGCGCCGGCCGAAAGCGGGCCTGCGGGAGGCGACGCGTGTGACCTACTCCTAGAGGGACAGGCAACAAAAAGAAACTACAACTCAAAAAGAATACAACTCAACCAAACATGAAAAGCAGAAACAAGTACTCCCCCAGGCACATGGCACCCCAAGTGTATGGCATGCCGGGGCTTGAGGGTTGCCCAGACGGAGAGTCATTTCGCCTGTTGAAATGAGGCACCACGAAACGCCCCCTTTGCTCACCAAACGCCAAGGGAAGTAGAGTGGAAGCCACTCAGCGGGGAAACTCGCCAAACTCATGTTGAACCTGGATTAGTAACCCCGTCCTACTGTGGATGGACGAAATCCATTTCGCAACCATGGTTGAAACCCATGGGTGGTGTGAAATGGATTTCGTCCATCCACAGTAGGAGTAAGATCGGCGAATTCCCCCCCCCCCCTCCCCGGCCGTCCCGATCTCCGGCCTCACCGGCGCCGGCGGAGCCGGCAAGGCCGCTCGCCCAGCGAGGCGCTGAAGCGGGGCGTGGCCTGGAGGGTGCAGCGGGTCCAAAGCGAAATCGAGAACCCGAAGTGACTTGAAGGGACTCAGTTTGGTGGTTCAAGGTTGGGCCCGCAACATCGGGGCTCTTTTGCGCTAACAAGGGTGACCAGAGTTCAGACCCCTGAGGTGATTGGGCAGGAAAGGTCCAAGCATACTTTTGGTTTAGTAATGCTGTCCCGAGTGGCTCAAGTCCACAAACTCGGGAAGGAAAACCTCCCTGTTGCAACCACCCGCAAGGTGGAAACTTGGCCCTTTTTGGGTTGGCCCCTCTTTCGCCACAGGGTAGAATCCACTGAGAACGTCTGGGAACTGACCCTCCTGAACTTGTAGACCTTGACCAATTCACCCAGGAAGATTCTGCAGCCCCCTCCCTCCGCAGCAGAAGGGATGAAGCTTCCCTCACGAGGGTCTCTATTTTTCGCAAGTTGGCAGAAAGAACCCCGAAACCATGATGCTAAGCGGAATCTCTTGTGATTGGGCCCACCTGCATGTTTCTCCCAGCATACGTTGGAAGGGCATATATATGTTTTTCTGCGCCTTCCTTGGGCAGCCGGGGCATCAAGAAAAGCCTTTTGTGCAGCACGCGGCTCGCGGCTTCGGCCTGCAACGCCGTGCCGCGGAAGCGGCAGAAGCCCCCTGCACAAACGGCACCAAGGCACACTCTGGATGTATCACCTGCTGATGCTGGTTGGCCGTCCCTGCGAAAATGCTGCTGGTTAGGGGGAGGGAACCATGCCCTCCAGAAACTTGAAGGCAGCCAAAGGCTTCTCCATCAACGAACCGACAAACAGTTTGAGCCTGGAGGCTGGACATAAGCATTCAGCCTCTGAGTTTTGCGGGGAAAAGGGGAGGGAGGGATCTGTTACCAGAGTGGGGCCATG